TATATATATATATATATATATATATATATATATATATATATATTTAGCGAAGTTTATATATATATACTCGGAAGAATTTAAGACATCACACAGACTACAAAATAATCCGTCATCCATAATATATATTCTAATATTAATATTGTTTTAGATATTTAAGAGTATTATTTTATACCACAATTATATCTATACATATATTATTTCTTAATCCAAAAAAAAGGATATGCGGTTAAAGTACATATTTATTCGGTAGATAATATGAATAGATATGAATTTTCCAATATATGTAAATAAGCGAAACTGCGAATGTGAAATTGCGATTATCTGCGACTTAAAGTGCGATTAAGAATGCGGGACCAATGAATGAAATTAAGCGGGTTCGTCGACTTCGCTATATCTGTAACAGAGGCACTTAGAAGAAGAATGTTGTTGGAGATGTCAAGATGTTAAAATTGTTCACCAGTCACAGTAATAATGTACTAGTATATCGTGCAGTGGGTGTAAATGTTGCAAAAAAGAAGACTCAACGAAATACCGTTACTTGAGTCCAACTCCGCTAAACAGGATTTCGTTGAGTTAAATCTAAATGTACCGGTCAAACCGGTTAACGTGTCCTGTCCGGCATCCAAGCCAGTTATCATAATATGAATACATTATCAAATCAATAAGAAATAATGTTTAGTTATCGATATATGAAGAGTAAAAGTGCCAATGTTAATAACTGTCTCACGTAAAAACTATCACGTACTGTATCTCGTTGATTATCTATTATCATACAAAATGAATAACATATATTTCATCTTCTCGCTCTGCCTCTTTTTTCAACTCTGCCCTCAGCAAATATGTTGACAACGAAATCGTTGTAAAACGCATTTAAGAAGCACCGAACACTTTATTTATGAGCAATACTGTTCTCGAATATAGTAGTACAGTGCAGATTACAACCGTTGCACGTAAAATATGTCAAAATTCAGAAATACGTGCAGCCAATTCCAAGCGTTAAACATATTTTAGTTTTCAATCTCCAGAGATGCTGCAAAGTATTATAAAATACGCTGTCGAATCTATATTTTCAGACAATGAAGGAATCTTCTTACTTTTATTCTTCTATTTTAATTATGGAAGATTATAGAGAAATTTAAGTAGAAAAAAACACGGAATATATTTATATAAGCAATATAAAAAGCATACCACAGACAATAAATCACCGAACAAACCAATTTTACAAAGTATAAAATTTAAATTAAATTTTCTTGATCTTTATATATGAAAACCGACCTCCTAATTCTTTATTCGAGACAATAGGAAGAACGAGAAATGTAGAGTGCAATTATCTTGTCTCTTATAGATATTATAGCTAGGCATTATAATTGACGAAAAATTAATATTGTAACTACAAACCACAGCCATAGTTGGTGACTACTTTTATATTTGTTTCCTGCGAATCTGTCGCTGAAATTTATCGATGTTTAATCGATAAGGAATAGTAATGTATGTTACAAAATACTTAGCCAAATTTAGTGTTGAGAAAAATAATAAAGTGGTTACCGTGTAAGAAGATAAAAGCAATTCATATGTTTGCAACTATTTCTGCAATAAATCCATATAAATTTATTCGTAGAGTGTACATTTATTGAATTTTTATGTATTTTTTCTAATTCTACTTGAGTAATTACAACTAAGATCTGTTAACTATTAGTAACCTATGTACGAACGCGGTACTCATAGAAAAATTATAAATTATCGTGCAAATTTTTATTAATCACATTGATTTTTACACTTCGGTCGTCTATTTTTTTGGCGCTATGATACCTTCCAATTGAGTCTGAAAATTTATAATCTTTAACTAACCGTGTATCTTAAAATCGAATAACGATGTGAATAATATAAGTTAACATATATATAATAAAAGTAAAAATATTGCGATTATACTCTTATTATCAAATCATTTTGAATATTTTTTACCTTTAACTGTAAGTTTGTTTTCTTAAGAAATTGCACTTCTTCCATGTGCTTCTTTTCTTCTGCTTCTCTCAATTCAGCTGACCTTCTCTCAGCTTGATCGAATTTGAGCCTCAACTCCGCGACTGTTTTTTCTAATTCGACTTTCTGTAATTGTAACTCCTCCGCCGTGCTAATCAAATCTTCCTTACCTTGCTCAGCCTATAATAATATGTACATATTTCATATTAATTTGTACATTTATATCTTATAATTTATATCTTATTTAACTCATTGAGTTTATCGAATTTCTACTTGCAAATGCGTGTAAAAATTTATTACACGTACTTGGAGTGCTTTACGCATCCCAAAAGCAATACTACTTTCGTACAATGTCTGATATGCAGCCAGTGTCATCTTGATTTCGTCCCTAACTCGCAATAAAAGCAATCCACGTTCGGCGCAATTTACGGTAACTTGTCGTATCAGCTCATCTGAACAATGATATACAAGCAATGATATAGAACTTGTAAAGTATTTGCATACAAATACGTTCCGTACATTTGTCTCATATACGATTACAAGTAAATTACTGTCTTTACCGAAACATTGTGTATAGAGTTGCCTGCGAACAGGACAAATACCGGTTTCTCTGGCTTGTCTCTGTTGCAATCGCATATCAAGCTGCTCTTGTAAATTTATCACATCCAGCCTTGTTGCAGGAGTACTTGATACCTAAATATCACATGTCACTAGATATTATTTCAGGATAACGGATAAAGATATAGTAGATTAATAGTAGGAAGTTCTTTTTGATCGTATTTGATTATCGCATGTGTATATAAAAAAAAAATCAATAAATTCTTTGATTAACTTATAATGGAATATAATTATATACTTAAAAAGAAGTTCATGTTTATTTTTCTTTAATATTTTCAAAATTACAAAAAACTACAAATTTCGTCTTTTGATCTATTGAAATAGATCAAAATATAATTGTAAAATATTGGTTAATATATGCTTTTAAAATTTTACACTTTGGGACCATATCTGACCGTCCTCTTCCCATTCTTTCGGCGGTAAAATTCTGTTTAGAATCTGAACAGTTTCTCGCCGTACATCGGCTGGAATTGTTGTTTGCACTTTACAAGCGCTAACTTTCGTCAGAGTTGGCTCTTTACGCACCTTCCATAAAGAAATACTTAATATCATTTACATATACTTATATACACGCGTACAATTTGCTCAATAAGAGACAATAATTTACTTAATATATGGAAGTAACTAATCAGTCATATACAGATCACTATACCTTTTCAGGATGAGTCGTAATTAAAATCGGAGTATCATATTTCACCAGTGTATCTATTGTTGGAATTACACGTTCTTTAATCGCAGTCGCCATTTATTTCAATATATTTATGGAATTTACGTAAAATATATCAACGAACAATATTGTCAACGATAACGTGACTCTGGAAGTATCTAATATGTATGCGAAAGCTGATAGTTAAAGAAACATCACCATGGAGACACTGATTCGCGTCGCACGATTGCTCTGTATCATTATATAGAGATATAATAGATGTCATTCTTTTTCTTGCATACGTAGACGTCAAAAATATAAGGATGGTCACCACACCACAAGATTTATAAGTAACAATTTAATCTTTATCTATGATTTAAAATTACTTATACATACGTTATACAATCTTATTGACGATACTTCACCGAAATTTATAGTATTTAGAGATTTTGCATACATAGATAATATTTGGGAAGTATAAAAAATTAGAATTATTTATAATATGCAAAACATGATATATAATAAGTAAAAATCAATATGTTGATCCGACACAATTTAACAGTGTTACATATTCAATGCAAATCAATACTTATTTTTATGAATGCATATACACATTTATGAAATAACAAATTTATATATATTTTACGACAAGAGACGTAATCTTTTATTGCAATCTCGTTCGTAATTGATATAATTAATCTGCCGCTACATAAATTTACGCAGTTGTAAAATAAAATCTTCAGTCAATTCATTGATACTAAAATCATCGTCGTCGCTGCTTTCGTCGAAAATGTCCTGGACCGTACCCATTACAGTCTCTATACAGTCTGCGTACTCATTACAGTCATTTAACGTGATTTTTTCGCTCGATTCCACATTCTCCAAATATATTTCCACGTGGTTTTCCGTGTTCTGCATCGTCTCTGTATCATCTTTTTTCTTCGTTTTGTGTCTTGATACAGCTGGTCGCAGAATCTTGTTACTTTCGTTAGAATGTTCCGAGAGATGGTCGTTGGCAACTCTCATAGAAAGTGAAGATCCGGACTGCAACAACTTGTCGAATTCGGTCGTATCGCATGTTTTCTTAATTTCCGTGCTCTGCGTATCGTCTTTTTTCATTTTCTTCGCGTTGCGTTTTGATACGGCTGGTCGCAGAATCTTGTTGTTTTTGTCAGAATCTTGGGGACTGTCGCTAGAAACTCGTACAGGAAGTGGTAGTCCAGATTGCAACAACTTGTCATATTCGGTCATACCGCATGTTCTTTTTATTTTCGTCGCTATGTTCATTGGCAAAACTTTGTTGATATAGGCCTTCTTAATGGCTTCTATTAATATCTCATTCAATTGAACCACCTTGTCGTCCATATATTTCTTCTTTTTCAAGAAGCTTTGCATATTCACCATCTTCTTTTGGTACGTGATCGAATTTTTCTGCGTTCGGTCGAGGATTTTCGAGGCCTTGTTTAATTTCCAAGTGAGGTCCTTTATTTTATTGTCTCTCTGTCTAAGTTGATTTTGCAAATATTTCATTTGTTCAATTCCCGCAGTCGCAGACTTCACTAATTTCTTGTTTGTTTCCTCGAAGCGATTTAGCTTGCTTGTTAAGTCATCGATCAATTTCTGCTGCATGTCTTTCACATTCGTTGAGAGAGGCGCTACGTCGTTCGATAGCACGTGCAATTTATCTGTCATATCTTGTGTCTCTTTTTCAAGAGGAAGGCTTTTTAATTTCTTATTTTGTAATTCGTATTCTATATGATTACAAAGAAAAAGCTGATTGCCGAGCCTTCTAACGTCCGCTTGTACTGACGATTTTGGTTGCAATCCGTCATATTTGCGTATAAAGGCACAATCGTTCGTTGTAGCATTCTGAACGACTGGTGAACGATTGCTATTCATACTTAGGTCGCTTAAGTCCTCGTCAGTGCGTGGCGTTACTTTTGTGCTTAGGGATCGGCAATTTTTTGAAGTTGAAGGTAACGACATTCGGTCATTAATAGCAATATCTCCAAAGCACGATGAAGAGAGATAGTTGTCTTGAAATTCGGTCTTGATGTCCACGTCTACTGAACAATCGTCTATTGTTATAACGGATGTAACAAGTCCATCATCTTCTTTGGGTGAGTGGACCTCGTTGTATTCTTGAAGACTAACATCTCCTGTACTTCTCGACAAGTTGTACATAATATCAGACACATCATCAGGATGGCCCGTTACCTTGACCGTGAACTTCATCGTAGCCGGTGAAGCGTCGCTGCTGCTCTCATCCTGCGTCTTCTGTATCTTTTTTCTTCGATCTATCTTTTTCCCACTGTCGTCAAAGATATCGCTGTCGCTCAAGGAGTTCGTGTCCTGAGAGGAAACGTTACAGATGGATTTCTCTATGGATTTCATGATTTCATCCCGAGTTTTCCGTTTACGTTTCATGGCGGCCATCATATTCGGAGTGACATTCATATTTTGCTCGATCTCTTTGTCATTGTTAACATTATCAATATTGGTAGTATGAAGATCCAACACTTCATTTTCATCAGCTATATTGCTATTACGAGATGCACATTTGCGTATGCGCGTACTTTCTTCCCTATCTTCGGCACTAAAGATTATCTCGATATTTTCCGTATCATTAGTGAGCATGTGCCCAATATTATTCCCTGAGGAATGTTTATAATTTATACTTCTGTGGACTGGAGTTTTGCTTGATGCTTGTTGCAAAACTTCTTTTTGATTATCGCAGACCGACTGCTGTTTCTCCATATTATTAGAATTAGAATCTCCAAAATAACCGTCGCAAATTTGTTTCAGTTTCTCCTCTATTTCATCATAATTATGAACTGATTGTGCAACTTTTTTTGATTCTGGTTTGGTCAAATCTTCATTGGAGTTGTCAGTTGAATTCGATACGAGATCATTAACAGGCTTCTCATTCTTTTCATCCTTTTGCTTTTCAACGTTATATTCAACTTCGACTACTTCCTCTGTCTTTATATTATCGTCTTTATCGTCTGAAATTAAAATATGTCCTTGCTGATTATAATCTTGCACAGGGAATGATTGGTTACTTTCTATTGACTTCGAAAAATTATTCATTTGCTGATGTACAAACTGTACTGATGAATCATCAATATCTTGTAAAACAGAATATTTTTCTTCCAAATAATCAATGGATGAATAATCCCTATTATTTTTTACATGCATCACACTGTTGCAATTGTTTTTATTATCATCTGTTCTCATTATACGTCTCTTGATAGATTTTCTAGTTGAATTTACAGCAAAAATAGAAGGTATTGCATTTTTTTTTAATTTGACTCTACCATTCTCCATTGTGCACCATTTGTCAGATTCAAAATGTTCGTGACAAAGAAATGAATTATTAGATGGCTCCCAGTCAGCTCTACCAACACGGTCCTGCCAAATTTTTCTTAATATTGGGTCACGTGGAAAACATTTCATTCTATAACCTTTTTCACTGCGATTGTTGCAACCAACAGCTGCACAACCAGGCATATTTCACTAATCTGACTGAATAAACAATCTGCAAATTTAGAATAATAAATTGTAACATACAGAAAATTAACTAGTATACTTATTTTAGTAAATGATATCAAGCAAATAGATTACAAAAGTCCATTTTATATATTCCAAACGACAATGTATACAGGCTTCTTTGTTTATTTCCTTGTTGCTCTCTCCTCACACATCAAAATAAATTTACTTTATTGTAAATCCGGGGGGAGCAAAAAACTACCACTAAAATGATTAAACTTATATACATAATATTAGTGAGCATTCCATAATTAAAAGAACATTAATGGAAACTAACCTGATTAATAGTTATATATATTAACCAAATTGAAATACCACTTTTAGAATTGTATCAAAGCATCGATAAATCTTTTTAAAAAAAGCGATACAACATTTCAATCCGTCGAAGATATTAAAAGTTTTCAAATTTGCTTATGTTTACATTAACTGCAGTTCTGTTTGGGGAAGAGCACAAATATTAAATATCTTGCTTTAGGATATCGTATGACGATTTTGAAGTTATTAAATTTGCACTTGATAATATAAAAAATTTATCAAAGCGTAAATAATATATATTGTTAAAATACTTGCCTTATAACTTTAGAATTATTTCACGCGTACATAGCAGCAACGATTTTACGATTTATGCGGCATCGTGACCAAGAATTATAATGTGGGCTGTTCTTTATGTTTTCTCACTCTAACTTATTGCACCAGTTCAGCAGCTGAAAAGAACAGACTATCATAGGTTTGTTCGAGTTGCTTGTACTTTTACATCTAATGCCCGTTGCACTTGATACGCGTATTAAATAGTAACTTTCTATTAGATAATCTTAATATCGACGATGTATATAAATGATAGTATATTAAGCTGGTATAATACTGATCAAGAAGTCTTATTGTATCGATTGAATGCGTCATCGTTGATATGCATTGTCGATATTAATAGTATGTTCGACTGGCTCTGGGTTAACCCACTCTGGGTTATTCAGCCTACGTTTATTGGTCAAACAAGTACTTATAAGCTTTATGATTGGCTAGTAGAGACTTATGACGTCATTAATCGCTCTCGGAGCAATTAACCCAGGACCAATCGAACACGCTTTAAAATTATCTAATAGAAAGTTACTATTTAGAACGCGTATCAAGTGCACGATGTAAAGCAGGCCAATAAAAGTGCCTCTAAAAGAGGCTTAGGAGCCACCTGATTGGCTGAAAAGCTATATTTAAGGTACTTTTATCGATAAAAGAGGATTCAGAATATGGACCTATGTATATACGTCATTGCCTGGTCCACATTCAATGATTTAAGACTTAAACCTTTAAAATTGACTAATCCTATTAGATCATTCTTATAATAGTTAACTGTGATTGGTCAATTTTTAAGGCTTAAGTCTTAAATCACCGAATGTAGACCTGGATAGCGATCATGAATCTTTCACGTGAACTTCATTTTCATTTTTCACTTTTTACTGTAAGTTATTTCACATGAAAAGTGAACAATGAAAATGTGGAAAGCAATATTTATGTAATATAAATTATTAAAATTAAAATGTAATTACAGTATACACAATGTAATATATAACACATTAATAAGCATTATACAACTTGAATTTATAATTATAATATAATATAATAATATATACAATATGAGTAAATTTAATAAATGAGACGAACGTTAACCGGAAAACGTTAACGTGAAAGGTGAATTCTCAAAACGTGAAATATTTCACGTGAACTTTCAGTGTGCTCGTATATGTTTTTCTTTACATATAAATTGTGTAAGTTTTCATGAAAATTTTTAAGCATCAAGCGATGTGAAAAAATAAAATTAAATTGAAAAATAAAATTAAATTAAATGTGAAAAATAATGTAATACTACACTCGCATATTATGTACAAAGTGAGTAGAATTTCTTATAGTGACTTTAATTTTTATGGTTATATGACAATTGGCATTTGACATAAGAATCCTACGTCCATTAAAAATGAACAATGAAAGCCGATTGAAGCATGATGACGTATAGGCAGTGAAAGTATACCGACGAAGTTTGCAAAGTTAAGATACGTATGCATCAGAAAGTTAAAATGTAATATATTATATATAAATTGTATACAATAAGTAAAATATAAGTTTATTTTATGTATTTATTGCATGTATTTTATGTATTATTTTATATGAAATATATATTTTCTGCAGATTTATAATTTTAATATTAATAGAATATTTTATCTTTTTATAATTTATCCTAAAAAAATCCCAAGCAGACTTCCAAGTAACGTTCTAAAAACATCACTATGTCTTAAAAACATTCTGAAAAAATTCTAAAGATGTCCATTGCAAATTGGTGTTGTCTTGAGTATATTATAATATTTGTTTTATTTACAAATTCACGTTAAATCTTTCATTTTTCACGAGTTTAGTGAAGTTTTCATCTTTCATGAGTTCATTACAAAATTTTCACTTTTCACGAGATTACACTAGGGGTGCGTTCAGATTCCTCATCCGGGTGCACTCTATTACTAGAAACACTATAGTATTTGTTACATATACTATAGCACTTTTAGTAATAGAATACACTCGGGTGGGGAATTTGAATGCAGCCTAGAGGAAAAAATTCATGATCGCTATTCAGAGGTAAACCTTAAGCTATAAGAAATTGACTAATCACAATCGATCATTTTATTCCCCGATTCATATTTCACCGTGATTGGTCAATTTTTTACAGCTTAAATCCTGATCTACAAATGATTTAAGTCTTATGGCATATATATTATATATAATCGCAGCCAGCACGATTTGCAACACGACACGCGATATGCAATGCGCGATATCCAATGAGCGTAC